TAGAGTGTTAGCAAAATTAACACAGAAACTCCTGTCACTCAGGTATGAATGGAACCATTCTAACACTGCACCAGTAATCCCAACCCAGTGTTCTAGCCGGGATAAAAGGATACTGTGGTCCACAGTATCAAATGCAGTGGTAAGATCAAGGAGTTCCAGGACTACAGACTGACCAGAGTCATTTACCAGAAGAATGTCGTTGCAGACACTAACTAAGGCTGTTTCGGTGCTGTGTAGTTCTATTTCGTATAGGCTTCGCCCTTTAAGAGCTGTCGCGGGTGGGTTTATCCCGTCATGTGTAACCTGCACAAGATAATTAACCCGTATTTTATTTTGGCGGGTCAAACTGATGCCACACTAAGTTCTGGGTGAGAGGTGAACTCGGACCCCCTCCACTGCTATTGCTGCTGTCACTGTGGCTAGCTGCGTGAGCTTGGCGTCTTCCAAACACACGGGAGAATACGGCTGGATCGAGCCAAATTAACACGACCGAGAGCTTAAATAGGGTGTTAACTGGCAACCACTCGACGGTGAGTCGTTCATTTTACATACTTTGTTTTTTTTAATATAATAGAAATGCGGTGGCGACACGCCCGTTCAATCTATGTATTTTGTGACTCAAAAATGGTCTTATTAACTAAAAGATCCTCTTTTTGTTACTTTTGTGGCCGAATAGAAGGCATACCCTCAAAGTATTAAATAAGCCCTTTGATTTTTGTAAATTTGTCCTTTTAGGATAGTTTTAGTTACTTTTTCTTGATTTTGGTGACGGCCGATGGAACTCTGGAACTGGTTAATTCCTGTGGAGTTGCGCAACAAAACTAAAGAAAAAAGAAAAACAATTAATTGTCTATTGAAAAAATATTGAAGTCAATTAAGTTTAATTGACTCTGATGTCAATTAAACTTAGATACTACTTGAAAGTGCACTTTAACTTTGATCTGTAACTGTACTGTAACAGTAATGTAATCTTTAATTTGAAATTAATTCAAATGTTTCCTGAGAAATGCTTGATGGAATATAGCTATTTGTTCTTTTATGAATGTTTAATTATTATTTTTAACAGTTTAACCCTGTTCAAATGTGAAAGCTAATTTTTGTTTTATTCATGACCTTGTCTAGGTCAGGTTTTTTTTTACCCCCTGTTCCCACCCAGGATGGTGAGCTACCAGATCACCGCAGCTTCGCGGTAGGACTGAATCACACCAACTATTTTTTTTTCTGGACATATTGCCCTGGATCATGGATTTAAAACTGTGGAGTATTGATTGATGGACAATAATCACTCTAGACTCCAGAACGGACTTAAAGAAAATAGAAAAAAAACTCTTGGGTGTCATCGGGGTTTATTTATTCTTTCCTGCTATTGTTTTGTGTTTTTTCCTTGTTGTGTTTATTGCTTATGTTTATTGGAAATTATTATTATTATTATAAGATATCTAACTAAATATACATAAATATACAACTTTAAATACAATAAGTTAACTTTACTTTCTGTCTGACGGTGTTTTATTCACACACACGAGCTCCTCAGCCGAACCTTTCTGATTGCCTATAACTATACTGGCCATAGTCAGGCACCTAGCCTTAATTAGCGTTACACATGCAAAGCATCGCAATGAAAAAATTAGTCCATGCCCACCTGTTGTGTAGGCCCCACCCAGTCCGTATAAATTACATTAAGAGCGGGTTATCGGCTCCCATTTTTATTCAGCAAGCTAATAGCACTGTCAGAAGAATGAGGAAGGGAAGTTGTCCAGCTTGACACAACCTTTGTTAAGGCTGCCTGGGGTCCCACCACGCCAACCTCCTGCCATCCCGGTGAGTTCTCCTCCCCAAGGAGAAGCAGATGAGCAGCCTTGTTTTAAGGTAAGTGCCGAGGAATATTTTTCAGTGGCGGGTTGCTACACGCTGGACGACGCCATCGACCCTTTTTTCCTTTTAACTCCGAATCTTGGAGCGAATCAGATGGTTCCTCCGGGACATGCGACATCAGCAGCAGCCCCCGCTGCTCACTCCCTCCTGGAGAGAGTAGTGTCAGAACGAGGGGGGCTGAGCGAATGCTCACCCCCCTGGACCTTTTCGCATCGGCGACCACACCGCTCCCAGCTGTCGGTGCCCTCCTCTCAGAGCTGCTCGGCATAATCCAGGAGGCGGCTGACATGAAGGGACTTTTTTACGTCCCTCTCCTTCCCCCGCCCGGATTGGATGATTTAGCGGGAAGGTTTTTTGGCTCCACCCCGGCTCGCCGTCTTTATCCCATATGGCCTCGTTTTCCCAGCAGTGACGTCCTACTGGAACGAGGCTGTAGCCGGACCTGGTAGACTGAGAGCGCCGGTTCACATTCGTGCCCATCACCAGAGTGGAGGGGCTTTACTGAGCGGAAATTCCCTCGGTGCCCACCTGGAGCCAAACCTGGCGGAGGCTCTCTGAGCAAAGATGTCCAGGTTGGACCGGTGTCCTGTGCCTCCGGGGAGGCATGACCAGACAGTGATGTCACTCTCCAACTGAGCTCACCAGTGTGCGCTCCAGGCAGACGCAGCGAACAATAACGTTGCGCCGCTGACGTACAGCATCTCAGAGGCCGGAGGGACAGACCTGCCTCAGGAGACGAAGAGCTCCCTCTGCAGGCATCTAATGTCACCCTCAACCCATGTGACTCGTCTGCCGTCGGCCTGTCTTGCATCGCAGCCTGGATGACAATGGTTCAGAGGTCCACCTGGCATGTCACTCCCCCTCCCTGTCGGAGAAGCTACAGATGGACTCACTGGAAGGCCCCATCACGACGGACGTGCTGTTTGGAACCAATTTCTCCAACCGGAGAAGGTGTCTGAGACTGTGCACCATCTGATCAAGCCGCACCACTCCTCTCTCCACCCACCCCCCCCCCCCCCCCCCGCCCGCTGGAGAGATTGTCGTGGTTAAGACAGCAGAGACGCGCCACAGCTGCAACAACGTTTTCTCACTCCGCTGCCAGCCCCTCCCGTCAGAGAACAGCCGCCCTCATCCCGACAAGCCGCAGGGCTCACGGAGAAGAAGATTTAAAAATGATTCATTGCGGAGGATGTGTGTGTGCATAATGATGGTTTTAGTATAAAACATAAACATCATTCAGGAATTAAAGTGTATGATTTCAGCCTGACTGTTATTTCGTACAGGCAGCACGGTGGCACAACTGGTAGAGCTGCTGCCTCTCAGCGAGAAGGTCCTCGGTTCAAACCCCGGTCCAGGGGCCTTTCAGGGTGGAGTTTGCATGTTCTCTCCGTGCATGCGTGGGTTTTCTCCGGGTGCTCCGGTTTCCTCCCACAGACCAAAAACATGCATGTTAGGCTGATTGGTAACTCTAAATTGTCCCTAGGTGTGAGTGAGAGAGTGAATGGTTGTTTGTCTCGTTTGTCTCTATGTGGCCCTGTGATGGACTTGCGACCCGTCCAGGGTGTACCCCGCCCCTCGCACAGTGATTGCTGGACATGGGCACCAGCGACCCCTGTGACCCAAAATGGAATAAACGGGTAAAGAAAATGGATGGATGGATGGTATTTATATATGTGTGTGTATATATATATATATATATATATATATATATATATATATATATATATGTGTATATATATGTGTATGTATATATATATATATATATATATATATGTATATATGTGTGTGTATATATATATATATATGTGTGTATATATATGTATATATATATGTATATATATACATATGTATATATGTTAACTAAAAATATGTTAAGTACTAGTAGTACAAAAACAATGTGCTAAACAGCAGCACGAACATGAATCTGTGAGCAGACAATTACGAATGAACACAGCAACATGAAATAAATCAGCAGCATCATGATGTGATTTTTCAGTGATTATAATGGTTAGATATGAATCTAATAGCCTCAGGGTAGAAGCTGTTCCTCAGTCTAGTAGTTCTACACTTAATGCTCCTCAATTTCCTTCCTGAGGGGATCGTAGCAAAAAGTGTGTGTTTTGGGTGAGTGTGGTCCTTCATGATACAGGTGGCTCTCTTCATGCATATGGAGGTGTACAGATCTGTGATGGTGGGATGCTGACTCCAACAGTCTTCTATGCAGCCCTCACCACTCTGTGCAAAGCTTTTCTTTCTGCAGAGGATGCTCTCCACATGTAGGAGGAGGTAAGGACTGAGCTTCCCAGACCATCTCGCCTCAGCCGCCTGAGGAAGTAGTCTCCGATGAGCTTTCTTGATCAGGCTGGTAGCTGAAGTTGTTATTCAAAGCTATGTGAAAGGCAGACAGCAGTATGTAAAGTTGGGAGATGTTTGTTCTGGATGTTTGGACATTGTCTGTGGGGTTCCTCAGGGGTCAGTCCTGGGTCCCAAACTTTTTTATAATTTATGTAAATGATCTATGTATTGTACCTGAGATACTGAAAAGTATAGTATTTGCCGATGATACAAATTTTTTTTGTGTTGGAGATGACATGGAACAAGTATTAAATGATGTAACTGATGAATTGAACAAATGTAAAATGTGTTTTGATGAAAATAAGCTATCCTTGAACCTAAACAAAACAAAATTAATGTTATTTGGGAACTGTCAGTCACGTCCAAAAATTCAAATACAAATAGATGGTGTGAATATTGAAAGAGTTCATGAAAACAAAATTCTAGTTGTCGTTATTGATGATAAAATCATCTGGAAACCACACATGAGATATGTTCAAAGTAAAGTCTCAAGAAATATCACCCTCTTAAACAAAGTCAAGTTGGTCATAGAACAAAAAGCATTACATGTACTCTACTGTGCGCTAATCTGACCTTATTTAAAATACTGTGCAGAAATCTGGGGCAATAATTACAAAACTACACTAAATTTGAGGAAAGGAATTGTTTTGTAAACTTCAAAAGATGGCAGTAGTGCAACATTGATGGATGCAAGCTGCCGTTAAAAACCAACGAAGAAAAATAAGAAGAAACGGTTTGGACCTTGCGACTTTCCGTTTGACGTCATTGTGTTGACGTGTGATTCTGAGTGTAGCTAGCTAACACCAAACTTCTGCAGCCGGCTTGTCACGGCTCTCTGCACTCACAGGCTGCAGTGATGGCTGCTGACTGGGAGGAGATACGGCGACTCGCTGCTGACTTCCAGAGGGCTCAGTTCACCGACACCGTGCAAAGGTGAGAGCCTGTTAGCATCAGAGCTAACATCGGCTAACTAACTGTTTATTAAAGGAGACGTGTTTACCTGTTAGCATCAGAGCTAACATCAGCTAACTAACTGTTTATTAAAGGAGACGTGTTTACCTGTTAGCATCAGAGCTAACATCAGCTAACTAACTGTGTTTATTAGGAGACATGTTTGTTAAAAGCATTCTCTCTGTGGTAGCAGCTGTTTGAGCACCGACCAGTCTCAGACCCCACCTCTGTAACTGTTTCCACTTCTTTACTTACAGGTTGTCCGAGAGGAACTGCATAGAAATAATCACCAGACTGGTTGGAGACAAGAAGCTAGATGTGGTGCACACGCTGGATGGGAAGGAGTACATCACTCCAGCACAGATCAGCAGGGAAATCCGAGATGAACTTTACGTCCACGGAGGTCTGTTCAACAACACAGCAGTGAACCTCAGCTAACGTCCTCTTCATGAGTCTTAAAACAGACGTCATATTATTAATCAGAAGTTAGTTTCTTTTAGAAATCACATGAAAGGGTGCTAAGAGATGCTGTGGTTCTTAAAGGAAGTCAGGTGAGATGGATAAAAGGACCAGAGGGTTGTTGTGACCTTTGACCTTTTGTGTGGAGTATGCTGGGATATGGATAAGCCACTGTGGATCCCCCTTATAAAAAGCAAAGAAGATTATCCAAACCCTAAAACAATAAAACTAATAGTAAAGCTTGAAAGAGTTTACGTCCCTTGTCACATTTAATGCCAGAGTCACATCTGGAAGATACCACAAGATGTCCTTGCTCAGTGTGTTGTGAATGACTCTCAGCTAACGATAGCAGGTGAAGCCTCATGAAGAAAACAAACATGCATGTTAGCTGCCTTCAGGCCCAGGCCTTCATTGCAAAAGAGATCTGTGATCTCAGTGGGTTTTGCCTGGTTAAATAAAGGTTAATAAATAAAATAATTAAGCAGTGTGGCTTTTATTAAAATTGTGCCGAAAAAGATTCAAAGTGGCAAGGATGGCACAGTTAAAGCTGTTGCCTCTCAGCGCCAAAGTCGCTGGTTCAAATCCCAACCTGGGACCTTTCTGGGTGGAGTTTGCATGTTCTCTCTGTGCATGTGTGGGTTTTCTCCAGTAACTCCAGATTCCTCCCACAGACCAAAAACATGCATGTTAGACTGATGCTAACTCTGAGTTGTCCCTAGGTGAGAGATAGAGTGAATGGTTGTTTGTCTCCATGTGTCCCTGTGATGGACTGGAGACCTGTGCAGGGTGTCTCCCGTCTCTTACACAGGGATTGCTGGACATGGGCACCAGTGACCCCTGTGAACCAAAAAGGAAGATGTGGGTAAAGATGATGGATGGATGGATGGATGGATGGATGATTCAAAGCTTCAAGACTTCAGTGATGGAGACTTCTGGTAGACAACAGGAACCATAACAACCTCATGAGCGCGACTGAACCTCTGACTATTTCAATACCATGTCAGCAAATAAAAAGACTGGTCAGTTATTTTCTTTGTTCATTTGTACAAAATGATTATTTCTCATTAAACATTAAAGATAAAAAAATATAATAAATATTAAATTATATATCCATCCATTATCTTTTACCCGCTTCTTCCTTTTTGCGGCTTCAGGGTCACAGGTGTCCATGTCCAGCCATCACTGTGCAAGAGACGGGAGATACCCTGGACAGGTCTCCAGTTCATCACAGAGACACCTGGAGACAAAGGAGACAAACAACCATTCACTTTCACCTAAGGACAGTTTAGAGTTACCAGTCAGCCTAACATGCATGTTTTTGGTCTTTGGGAGGAAACCGGAGTACCTGGAGAAAACCCACGCATGCACGGAGAGAACATGCAAACTCCACCCAGAAAGGCCCCCGGACCGGGATTTGAACCGGTGACCTGCTTGCTGAGAGGCAGCAGCTTTACCAACTGCACCACAGTGCTGTCCATCTATTTTTTTTTTAGCATGGATGATGTTACTGCTGAAAGTATGCAGAGCACACCCATTTCTAAAGAAAATATAATTCAGTTCTTTTACCATACCATTTTATTTATAGAGCACTCAAAACAGCGACAAGGCCAACCAAAGTGCTGTACAGACAAAACAACAGGCAACACACAAAGCAAAATACAAAATGAAGTAAATCAGAATATAGACATAAAAACGACGCAGATAATGACGACAAACCAGTGTGGAGCATACAGGATCAAAACACAGATCATATGGTGTTGAATGCTACTGAATAGTAGTGAGTTTTTAAACGAGACTTGAAAACCGAGAGGGAGGGGGCCTGTCTGACAAGCAGAGGTAACTCGTTCCAAAGTCTTGGTCCTGCTACAGAGAAGGCCCTGTCACCTCTGCACTTAAGACGAGTTCCAGGAACTGTGAGGAGCAACTGGTCCGCTGACCTCAGGGAACATGGTGGGACGTATGGTTGTAGCAGATCAGAGAG